AGCAACAAGCTGACTGCTGTTATCCAAAAAATTGATGTTCCAGCACTTATAGCAACCCCTAAACACAACAGTGGATACACACGCCTTGTTCTTATTCACACTACTGTTGATTCCACAACACCACGAACCACATAAGAATCAATTTAACACTCACTAATCACATGTAAGCCCTCTTACAACCACTCAATAAGGATTGTGCAATACAAGCACCACAACATAGTCAAACCTGTTACACCCAGTTCAGACTAGTTTAACACTTTTAAGAGAGCACTACACAACCACAAAGGTTCGGCTAGGTCACAACATTACACCTTACACCACTCGGCCACTTACAGCAGCCCTAACACCACTCAACAACTTACAGCAGCCCCTACACCATTCGGCTACTGTACACACAGCCCGTTCTAGGGCAACAATGAACCTAGTTCTCTAGGTTCTGATCAGTACTAATAGCCTCTTGAAGGGTTTCTACCCAGAAATACCAGCGACACAAGAAGAAGAGATAACCGACCTTCCTTTGAGAGTCTCAACCAACCATTCACTGCTGAARTCACTTTTCTTGATGAAGAAGAATATGCGCAGCAGAGAGAGACAAGCTGTGAGGTTTCAGACCTAGGGCAAACCAGTTCTCTCCATTGACTGACCAGAAACGCAGGAAGAAGAGTCACGAACACTGCTAGGTACTTTACCAACTGAAGTAGGTCAGGAACATGACTCTGATACCATGTTTCGAATGCTGCTACAGTAACTCGAACCAGGAAGAGAAGGAAGAAGAAGAAAAGAAGAAGAAAGAAAATAAGGGTCTGTCGAAATCTGATGGACACCCATACAGTCGACCCCCTTAATCTTTATTAGATTCTAATAAGCTTTACAAAGACTAAATTGCCCATACTTAAGTGTGGGGCAGAGTACTCTAATAAAACTGCCACATAAGCAAACTACTTAACACACATAAGATGACTAAACTACCCCTATTCGGCTCACTTTAACAATTCCACTTCCTAAAGGTGAAGTCCCAATAGGTTGCAAGTGGGTGTATACAATTAAACACCAGGCTGATGGCTCAATTGAAAGATATAAAACTAGATTGGTGGCAAAGGTATACCCAAACATATAGTTTTGATTATTAGGAGACCTTTGCAATTGTGGCTAAATTGAACTCTATCCAAGTGATTATGTCTCTTGTTGCTCACTGTTCATGGCCTTTATAACAAATGGATGTGAAGAATGCTTTCCTCAATGAAGATTTACAAGAAATCTCCATGGACCTTCCCCCAAGAATAAGCTTCCCTCACAGCAAGGGGAATGTTTGTCATCAAAAGAAATCCCTTTATGGGCCCAAGCAGTCTCCTAGATCTTGGTTTGACATATTCAAAAAGGTTGTACTTAAAATTGGGCTCACTCGATCACAATCAGATTATACTTTTTTTATAAGAAGGGTTAATGGCCTAGTGGCTCTACTGATGGTATATGTTGATGATATTGTTGCCACTGGGATGATAACTCTAAAACTGTCTAGTTGAACCAGTCCTTGCTTCTGAATTTGAGATCAAAGACCTCAAAAGTCTCAGATACTTTCTTGGAATTGAAGTGGCAAGATCAAAGGAAAGGATACTCATTTCACAGAGAAAGTATGTACTTGACCTCCTTCAAGAGGTAGACTAATTGGAGTGCAATCCAGTTGAAACCCCACTAGACCCCAATTATAAATTGAGTGTTGATGATGGAGACATTTTTTCAAACAAGGTGTTTTTCAGAAACTAGTAAATTGGCTTCACCAAGCCTAATATATCCTATGACATAAGTGTGGTGAGTCAGTATATGCATAAACCCAAACCTCACATATGCAAGCAATCAACAGGATTCTTGCCTACTTAAAGGAATGTTCTACTTCAACGATGGAAATCTTAAGGTTAAGGCTTATACTAATGCAAATAGCAAGTTCTATGGATGATAGGAGATACACCTTTGGTTACTATGTGTTGGTAAGAGGTAATGTCGTATCTTGGAGAAGGAAAACAATCAGTTGTAGTTCAATCTAGTGCAAAAGTTGAGAGTTGTCTCATGGTGTTTCAGAGTTACTTTGGCTAAAGACCTTGTTATCTGAGATTGGGACCCATGCTAATTTTTCAATGAGTTGTATAACCAAGCTACCATAAATATTACTCATAATCCAGCTCAACATGACCGCAGAAAGTACATTGAGGTTGAAAGACACTTTATTAAAGAAAGAATAGCCAATGGAGAAATATATGTGCCTTTTGTCAAGTTGGAAGATCAACTTGCCAGTTCTCTCACCAAGGGTTTCCACAAATAGAAACTTGATGGGAACCTTGGCACACTGGGCATTATAGATACCCATGCTCAACTTGAGATGGAGTTTTGAGATTTTGTATTGTGGGCAAGGGTATTTTTGTCTTTGTATCCTTTTTTGTATTTGGAGACCCATTCAAGGGCAGATATGTAATTTTCTCCACTAAGTTTAAAAGACACTTTTTAGCTGTGAACAATAGTAACACACCCTATTCTCCCGAAACCTTCCACCCACTCCAGATGACAACTCTGTCCCATTGTTAGTGTTTGATAGTAGACTTAATTATTATCTTGTTTTGGGCCTTAGTATGGATGTTTGGGCCTTATATTCTTTACCTTTTTTAGCTGCTAGCTAACCAGGGAAAACATTGTAATTTGAACTTGTACTTCCAGCAAACATTATAAATAGTAATGGGAGGCCTTATGGCTCCCATGATTTTGAGTTTCTTCACACATTCACTTCTCTTCATTCTCCCTCACATTCTTACTACTTTTTCATAATTTTTACTTCATGACAAACTAAGAAAGATTGTTCTTAATGAGAACATATTGCAAAACATTAGCCATTCAGAAATGAAATATTTACCTGAAGGACGATGAGCATTAAGACCACCATTTGGCACTAAAATTTCCAAACGACCTTTCAAAGGCTTTACAGCTTTTCTAAGAATTTCATGTCGTTCCTTCAAACTCTGATGGATAACACTTGTGTCTCCAGCATAAAGGATATCAAATGCAACATCTAACCATATCTTATGTCAAGGCCATAAGGATCCATTATATCCAGAAGCTGACACTAGCAGAAGTCAGAAACAATAAAAGGATACAGCACAACTGCATCACAAGGAATAAAGGAAAGATAGATAAGATTCTATTCTAACACTTTCTACAGCAAGAATATAAAGGAACAGTTATTTCATTGAAGCAAACCTGCTGATCACTATCTAATCCCTCCTTTGCTGCCTTTGCTGTTAAAAGGTAAAGAATGGAAAAAAAAAGTTTAAAAAATGAAGATCTCTAATCTAATGTCACAAAGGTTAGTAAAAATCTACATCATAAATGTAAAAAAAATGCAAGTAAAGAACCAGCTAATATAAAGACCTATTTCTTGATTCGAACCAAACTCAGCAAAACGATTTGTAGATGTGTCCCAGACCAACATTTCACCATCAAGTATACATCTGAATGACAGAATAATAAGAAAATAAATAAATTGATAACTAACATGATAGGTTAATAGTTAACCATTATAATATTTTAGACCTTGTAAGAGAGAATAAACCATTCTGATCTTAGAGAATTTCAATTTCCTTCCCCAACAGGACCAAAGAAACTCGTTAAAATGAGGCTCCATAATCTCTAAATTTATTTTCCCCCTCAGAAGCTTCTGGATTACCGAAAGCACAGCCATCAAAATTAAATTTAATCATCCTACTATGAAAAGCAACCCAATCATGCAAAAGGCTTCTTAGTTGAGAATGACCTGCTACCACCTGCCAACCCCTTAGGATAAGAGCGGATATTGACACCTTAGAACTCATCCCTCTTGAAATCCAATGTGCAACTTTAACTGCTATGAGATCAATGATAATGTTAACATATTGCTAACTTCCATCAAAGATTCTAGCATATCTTGCACTCCACACACTAAAATGATGCCAACCCTTTACACCACCACACGAACTTCCCTCTTTCAGTGTTGGGAGAAAGTAAATTGAATTTAAAGAAGTCCACAATGTCATTTGCAGGTAACCAAGTAGCACATAAAAGAAGGAAATGGTTTTGATATGTAAAAACAAGAGAAATAGATTATTGAATTTCTCACCGCTTTGTAAGGAGGCACACATTAGAAGAGAGAACTTGAGTATTGTATCTTCATTAGAGCATCTCATTGGTGTTATTATCTCCAAGACAGTTTCCCAGCAAATAACACTTTGATCTTTGGAAAAGTAGGATTATCCCAAAGGATCATCACAAGAAAGAGAAGAGGGAGGGGGACTGCACATGACTTTTGAAGAATGAAGAGAACGAGAAGGAACCCAAAAGTTCCAATGCCCACACCCTATAATCATCATCAACTAGGAAGAGAAAAAACACCATTAAAGAAATTAATGAGGAAAGACCTCATCATTTTCATGGTCTTTAAGACCCCTTCTAAGCCAAAGTCCTAAAGCAAACCAGAATTGGATTTAGTACCAATATCAGAAGTGGTCTTGTTTTATTGTAAAGAAATGTTGTAAAGCACTAAAACCAAGGGAAGGCTTAACATAAGGGTCTTTCCTCTGACCAACAGTCCTACCAAAAATTAACTTTTTAGCAAGATGCTAGACCACACTTAACATCTCTGATGAAAAAACAGAGAACAACATCAATAGCTTTCTATGGAGAACACAAAGTTCCCTAGACAATGAGACCCAATTCCAAGCATTCCGATGTAGGCCATATTTGTTTCTGACGATTATTTTTAAGTAAAAGAGAAGAAAAATTAGTAAAGTAGGCAAAAAAATTTTATTGCACAGCAAGTTCTAATGATATCACCAAAGTAGGCAAGAAAGTAGATCCAAAGTCATTCAGTTAACACTTGCAAATTCTGGGCAAACTTGAATCCCAATCAGTAATCAGATTTCCAATTTCTAAGCACAGCCTTTCCTTCCACTTTCTTCTATTTCTTGCCACCATGAAATGATGGCCAAAGAGAAAAACTCATGCTGGGACATCTGGGTTGCCAAACATTTCTTCTAAAAAGTGACATGAAGAACCCCCAAATAATTTGGAAAAATAGGACATAAACAGATGACCCACATCTACTTCATTAAAGAAACATAGATAAAAAATGTTAGCCACTTGGATCCCTCTCTTCTTCCCATGGTTCAACATGATCAAGATGTCCAATTAACACCAACAACGCAAATGCTTCCGCCTTAGGTGTAATAGGATTTTCCAAATGCATTGATGTCAGTTCTATATACTTCGTTGCAAACGAGTGCATCAAATGACTTAACTATGACAAAAGGTTTTTGTACTCTTTCCACCCTCTTGCATCACCCTCATCCACTAAAATAACCTTGTTTATTGAGTAAACTCAGATATTCATCGATTTCTTTATCCAAAAGTGGCCTTCTAAATTTAGGGTACCAAACCACTCTTGCATTTCTGACTTCATATAATTGGTTGATAGTGACATTTTTATCAATCAACCTAGCAAGTCTCAAACATAACTCACGTAAAAGGCCAAAACCACTCCAATTAGCTTCTCAAAACCTTTAGAACCTTCCCCAACCTTAAATTTTGTCAAAGTTAAGAAAGACTGCTAAAACTGCATAACTCCCTTCCATGCACATCTCTTGTGCCCCACTCGAGTCTAACCAGTCCATATTTGCATGCAATAACCCTCCTCCAAAGAACTTCCTTTTCAGTCCCCAACCTCTAGCTATTTCCCAAGCAATGCTTTATTCATTTCCCTGATTCTCCAAAATCCCAAGCCTCCGTCCTTTACAGTCAAGCATATTTTACCCTTTCCTTCTCATTCTGAGAATGCAACAGTTCCTTTTTATTTAATACATAGTGATGTTTGGTCGTCTCCAGTTACTTTTAGATTGGGATACAAGTATTTTGTGACTTTTATTGATGATTGCACTCAGTTTACTTGGATTTATTTTCATCACAAGAAATCCAAAGTTCACCCTACATTCAAATTATTTCAAGCATATGTTGCTAGTTTAAGGGCAAGATATGTGTCCTACGGTCAAATTCAAGGGGAGAGTACTTTGATGGGGATTTTCAAACATACTTGAAACAGTAGGGGATCAAATCCCAAAAATCATGTCCCGGTACTCCTCAACAAAATGGAGTAGCAGAAAGAAAGAATAGACACATCCTTAGTGTAGTCAAAACCCTCTTGCAAGATTCTCATGTTCCCTCTTGGTTTTGGCTGGAGGCGGCCTGCTTTGTTGTGTATCTCATAAACCTTCTTCCATCATTTGTCTTGAAAAACACTTCTCCCTTTCAGTCTCTTTTTCACTAACCTCCAAACCTATCTATGCTCAGAGTTTTTGGTTGCCTGTTTTGTTCATCTTCCGCCCCATGAACGCACCAAGTTAATTGCATAGGCAGCTTTGTGTGCTTTTGTGGGTTACAGCCCTGATCACAAGCGAATTCTTTGTTATGAGCCCGAAGCTCGCTGCATTCAGATTTCTCGTAATGTTATCTTTCTTAAGCAAGTATCTTTATGTCAGCATATTGTTAAACTTCCTACTCCTTCTATCTCTTTCTTGCACAACTTTGATTCTACAGATTCTCCAAGTACATCGACATCACCTTAGTAACAACGTCAGACTTACTTCAAAAAACAACAGTCTACATCAGCTCCTATGCCCCTTTTTTCTCTACCACCAGTTGTTGATCCAGCTATTCCATCTGTTCCTGTAAGTTCATCTGACCCTCCACCTGAACCCACTACACCCACTTTGTGTCGTTCTTCTAGAATTTCACACCATCCTAACCGCTATGGTTATTCACCAAACCGTAGCTCCTTTTCCGTTGTTTTATCCACCACAGGTATAACCAAGTCTCATCAATAGGATATAGCAATTCCACATTGGAAATATGACATGGACTCTGAGACCCAAGACCTTCTTGAGAATGACACACGGGACCTAGTTAAGCCTCCTCTTGAAGCCTCTCTCATTGGTAGCCACTAGGTTTCCTCCTTGAAGTTGAAGTATAGAAGTCTAGATAAATATAAGGCTAGACTTGTTGCTCAAGGCTATAAACAGGAGTACGAGATAGATTATGAGGAGACCTTTGCTCCTGTGGCAAAACTGACTACTGTTAGCCATCTCTACAGCTAAACACTGGACAATTCATCAGATGGATGTGAAGAATAGATTCCTACATGGGGAATTAAAGAAAATTGTTTACATGAAGCCTCCTCTTGAATATTGTACAGATCCACATCTTGCGTGCCGACTCAAGAAGTCTTTGTATGGCCTAAAACAAGCACTCAGAGCCTGGTTTGAAAGATTTCGATTTGTCATCATTGATGTTGGAACTTCCTAGAAAAAAGCACTTTCCTATCTACTTCTATTTTGTTCTCTGTCAGATTTTTTAAAAGGCCATTACCCAAAGTTCCACATAGGGTTTTTAACAGTAATAAATTCACAACTAGGAAGACACACAAACACATAAGTACATAACTGAAAAGGGAACAAAAGTTAAATTAAAACCAATACACACATAACTGGAAGCAATTACCTATCAATAAGGATATTTTGTACAATAATGTTTGACATTCCATGTCCATATTCAAGGTGATCAAAGAAGTTCCTGCACACGGAAACAAGTCATAACAACTGAAAATGAACAATTTTTATATAGTTTATGAGTAATGGTAGAGTATTGGTAAGAAACATAATCTTATCCAGAATAATGGATCTAAAAGAATCTATACATTTTCATGTAACAACGTTTCCAACTGCAAGCAAATGAAATTGCATGGTCCAAAAATCCAGACATTTTTTTGTGATAAAATAAAAAATTCAATAAAAGGAAAAATAAGAACATCATTTTAGATTATAAAAAATCACCAAGAACCTAGAGAACAACCAAAAAATACAACCAGATGATTGCTAGCTTATCAAAAATCCAGGCATATTTAAAAGCAAATATCCAAATGGAGGGACACTTACAACTGTGTGGGCTTCTCACACAAGTATGGATTGCAGTTAACAAAAGCGAAATTCACAGAAAACCAAACTATATTCTTGAAAAATGTTTACGAGCGGTAATAGTAATGGGGGAAATTGCCGATTAGGGCACATCCCGTTTTTGATAAACAGGGAATATCCCTTGTGACGAGACAAAATAGATGTGGCTAAATCACCACTATAAGAAAAATTGAGGATATATTGCTTCAAAAAAAAAGGATTTTAACCTAACTACAACTATGTAAAAAAATTAGACACGGATAACAGATCAATATGTGAGTACCTTGAAAAGAAGTGTATTTCTGCTCCATTTTTATGAATTTGAATGCGGTCTCCATCAAATTTGCATTCAACAACCACATCTTTTCCATGAAGCTACAAGTGAATACTTAGAAAATTGAACAATTACAAGGACATAGACAAACAAGGTAAATTCTGGAAAGAAATACAAAGCAAGTGCAATACAAAAATCAAAAGAAAAGAAAAGAAAAAATAAAAGTAGGAATGGACATCACAATTTAGGCGAGTCAATTTCTAAATGATGCAGGACCAACTAGCAACTACATTACTTGCAAACTGACGGATCATTCAGATTCTAATATTTTCAATGAATGGGGGCATTTTAGAAAGAAAATTAATATTCACAGACTTTAATGTAATATCACCTCCACTTCCACCTTTTGCATGAATTTTAACAACTTCATCCATAAACCTAACGTATCTGTTTCTAATGTGATATCAGCTCATTTTTACTTTAATATCAGCCCCATGAGTACTACAAAACATGGTGCACAATTTCAATATTGGTGAACATTTCACCATGTAGCGATTGAGAAATTCGGAGATATTTCGCTAAATATATTTGGAAAATCTAAAAAAAAACAGTAATGTTTTCTAGAAAACATGGAATTAGCTAATGAACCTTCAAGGAATCATCAAAAAGTATAGTTTCACATTTAACGCTCAAAACCATAGCAAAAAACTGTATAATTCAAACAGGAGAAAACTAAGAGACTTTAATAGGTATCTTTCTCTTTGTCTCCATTTTAGTTTTTTAGCCACCATCTCTTCATTAAATCTGTTATTTTCTTGCCTTCTTTTATTAGTAACAAAAGACAAGAATTCCATTAATTAAGCAAAGATGAAGTACAAAAAGAGGTCGTGAGGTTATTCAAAGAGATTTTGTGAGCATAGCCCCTGCTATCTCACCCCAATACATACTTTTTACAATTGAGCCCAAAACAACTGTTGCCAACTAGCCCCTTGTTTTTCTAACCCACCAGCCAAGCTTTTGGCTGATCTTTGTACCCATTGAATTTCTAATTGCAGATCTCTAGAGAACCATTTAAAGCATCTGGGTTCATTTCTGTAGCTCCTTAATGTTTATAAAGTAATAATTTTTAATATTATTTATTTATTTTAAGTTAGATATAAACATATAGTATTTTGTATTTGTTTAGGTTCAAGTTAATGGTAAAGCTAATAAAATGTATTTTACTTCAATTAATATCATAAATTGATTGCTAGCATAGTGGTTTAGAATCTTAGTGCACAGTGGCATGGGTGCGCTAAGACTTGAGTTCGAATCTTCGTAGCAACGCTTTTTAGACAAGACAATATATGCGTTCCAGCACGCGTATCAGCGTGTATCGGAACGTATCGGTCTGTATCGGCCGATACGGTGTCGATACGCACGACTGGACGTGTATCGTACCAATTGTAGCATATCTTGTATCCGTTCCTACCGATACCAATACGGTACACCCCGTATCAGGCGTATCGTGTCGATATTTTAATCCTTGAAGGAGAGAAGGGAAGTTGTAGAAGGAAGTCACAGGGGATTAGGGGAAAAACCGGATGTGTACAAGGAGGTACCTATTGAGAAGGAGGACCAATAGAGAAGGAAGGAGCTAGTAGGTGAGAATAGGGAAGGTGTTGAAACAAGAGAAAGAGAAGCGGGTGAAGAAGTTTTTAGGAGCAGGAAAAAGACTAGTCAGGGTTTAGAGGGAGGGGGGGAAAGGGGAGAAGAGGAAGAAGCAAATAAAATGGAAAACAATGGAAAGAACCCAGTGGAAGAGATAGCTACTAAAATGGGCTTAGAAGTAAAGACACCTAAAGAAGTGCAGGCCTATGTAAGGAAAGAGAAGGGGAAAAGAGGAAAAGAAAGAAAAGATGAATGAAGTGAAGAAAGTAATCAATGATGTGGAAGGGGATAAGGAATGCAGTGCAAGGGGAGGAAAAAGGAAAGGGGGTTTATAGGTAGGAAGGAGGATTGGGAAGACTGTTTAAGTGGTGAAATGAAATTTATCAGTTGAAATGTAAGGGGATTAGGGAGTGCAACAAAGAGAACAATTAAGGAACTTCTTAGAAAGGAAAAGACAGATATTCTTCTAATTCAAGAGTCTAAAATTCATGAGGAGATGGTTAGGAAGCTTTTGTGGTGAAAAAGAAATAAGTTGGAGTTCCCTTCCTTCCTGAGGTGCTTCTGGGGGAATAATAACAGCATGGAAGGTAGTGGTAATTCAATGCACTGAGGAATTAATAGGGAACTTTGTTGTCTCAGTTAAATTGAATTCAAGATGTGCTTGATTGGGTTTTAACAAATGTCTATGGACATATGCCATTATTGGGGAAATGGTTGTGGAGATGGTCATTAGAGAGAGAGAGAGAGATAGTGGCATGAGGTAATAGGATGTATTTATGGTCACTTGGAAAACAGATGGGATGCTGGTTTCTTAGCAGGCAATTGTGGCATGAGGTGATAGGATGTATTCATGGTCACTTAGAGAACAGATGGGATACTGGTTTCTTAGCAGAAAACTTTGGCAACACTAGGAAGGCAATTCATAGTATTCTCCCTCAACTTCACAACTTTGTCAGGTATGATGTGTGTAATGGTAATTCAGTCCTGTTTTGGGAAGATATTTGGGTTGGAGAGGCTCCTTTGAAGGACCTCTTTCCATCCTTATTCATTATCTCTCAATTTAAAAAAGAGCATGTTTCAAAACTCTGTTCCCCTTTAGAAACTCCGTTGGCACCAGTCTAGGACTTTGGTTTCCGAAGAGGTTTAAGGGATGAAGAGATTGAGAGTCTAACCCGCCTCTTGAGTCTTCTTCAAAGAGTTTATTTGGAACCCACGGAGCCAAATAAAAGGATTTGGACACCTTTTCCCTCAAGTCTATTCTCGTGTGCTTCTTTAAGGCCCATTGTTATCCTATGTCTTTACAGTCCTTCCCCTTTAAGGAGGTTTGGCGCAGGCCTATTCCCCCTAAGTTCTTGGCGTTCTATTGAGAAGTGTTTTATGGGAAAGTAAACACCTTGGATAATCTACAAAAGAGAAGACCTTATCTTTGCATATCACCTAATTGGTGTACTCTTTACAGGTCTCACGGTGATGATTGTTACCATTTACTAATTTTCTGTATTGTTACTACAGAGTTGTGGGATTGGCTTTTCTTGAATTTTGGATGCAGGTGGAATAGGACAGCAGAAGTAAGCATGCTTTTTGACCCATCTATCTTTGCTTGGTGCCAACGAAGAGGAAGGATAATGCTGAAGGTTGCAAGAGCAGCTTTGCTTTGGATAGTGTGGGACGAAAGGAATGCCAGGATATTCCAAAAGAAGAAGAAAAGCCAACAAGAACTGAAGGAATATATATTGCATAGGGCTATCTCGTGGCTGAAATCTTTGCACTTATTTCAGAAGTTTCCTTTTAATGATCTTTGGAGGCATTGGACAGCAATCACAAGCAGCTCTTCTCTTAAAACCAAGGTGTACATGAATTGGGTACACCCTCCTGAAGGCTTTGTGAAATTCAATTTTGGTGGCAGAAATCAGGGTAACCCAGGTCTCTCTGGAATGGGAGGGGTTCTAAGGAATGAAAGTGGTACTATGGCTCTTTTATACTCGGGCCCTTTAGGTGAGGGTGACTCCACTACGGTGAAACTTTTAGCTGCCCTTCAAGGGGTACAGCTAGGATGGAACAGCTAGTAATAGAAGGTGACTCCAAGGTGGTTGTGGTGTGGCTATAAAACCCAAAGACTATCGTTTGGTGCTTTAAGAATGAACTTAAAAAATTCAAATGGCTGACAAGAAATTTGTTTGTCAGAATACAATGGGTGGGGAGATCAGCTAATGCTATGGCTGATTGTTTAGCCAAGCAAGGGGCAAATAGGGAACAGTTGTATTGGGCACAATTGTAATCTGTTTTAGTTTTTGATTGTTTGGAGAGGTCGTAATCCATGCCTCTCCATGGGTCTGTTGTAATTGTTATTCTCCTTTCTCTAATAAACCTTCATCAATTATCAAAAAAACACAAATGTCTATGGACCCAATTCTTATAAGGAAAGGAACTTGATGTGGGAACAGCTGGCAAATGTTAGGGGTCTATGGGAAGGGCCATGGTTTGCGGGTAGTGATTTTAATGTGGTAAGATTTACTGAAGAAATGAATAATACAAGAGGGAGAGTAACAACCAGCATGAGTAAATTCAATGCTTTTATTGACACCTTTGACTTAAGAGATATCCCCTTGGGGTAATCAAGGTTTACATAGTCTAATCTTCAAGCAAATCCTATCTGCTCCAAGCTGGACAGATTGTTGGTTTCAATTGATTGGGAAGATCATTGGAATGGTTTGCTAGGGAGAACTTTGCCTTGAATTACCTTTAACCACTGGCCAATCTGTTTCTTTTTCAACAAGGAGTTGGTTGTGGCCCTACCCCTTTTAGGTTTGAAAATATGTGGCTTAACACTTCTTGTAATTGTATTTGAACAAAGAGTGAAGGAATGGTGGAGTTAGTGTTTTAAAAGTGCATGTTGCAAAAAAGGCGCAAGGGCCAATTTGTGCCTGAGGCGAGAGGCGCAAGGCAAGGCACACGCCTTTTTGAAGCAAGGCGCAAAAATAAAAAAAAAAATTGCTAAAAAATCAAAAAATAATGTTAGAAAATTCAAAAAAAAGCCAAAAAAATGCAAAAAAGAATACTAAACATAATATTCATAATAAATATAAACTTAAATTTTAAAATTAGTGATTTAAAAAACCTATTATCTAAAATTAAAATACATAAACATAACATGTAAAGCATATTCACATGAAATTTTAAAAATAAAATCAAACATATAAAACATTTTTAAGAATGTAAAGCCCACAATCTCTTTTTTTCCTCAATTGCATTACTTCAAGTAGCTAAGGTGATGTAAAACATATTACATTCCTGATTCTACAAGTCACCTTTGTGCCACACCCCTCAAGGCAAGCCCTTGAAAAGTTTGGCTATGTGCAGGCTTAGTCAGATCACATTTTGTTTATTAAGAAAGTGGATTCTTCCTAAACCCTACTTGATGTATATGTGGATGATATTGTAGTGACAGGGA